AGGGGAAAAGAACTTGACATACAGATAAGTGAGTTATACAGGACTCCAACTAGATTTGATCAAAAAAGAACCACACATAGGCATATAATTGTTAAGATTCCAGAAACCCAAGAGAAGTACAAAGTTCTACAAGCAGTTAGAGAAAAGAAACAAATCATGAACAAAGGAAAGCACATCAGAATCACAGCAGACTTCTTAATGCAAATCTTCAAGGCAAGAAGAACTTGTAGTGATGTATTCCAAGCTCTAAAGGGAAACAGCCCTCAGCCCAGATTGATGTACCCTGCAAAACTATCTTTCAAAATTGATGGAGAAATAAGATACTTTCATGACAAAGAGCACCTTAGGAACTTCATGAATACCAAACTAGCACTCCAAAAAATTTTAGATAATATCCTAGGAACAGACAATGAGGATCACAACCCGAGGAAGTACAGTAGAATGAATCCATCGAGTGTGGCAAGAAATTAAATGTAAAGGGGGATGATCCAGCAAAAAGAAAAAGTCATGACAATGATAAGTCAATAAGTATCAGTTGTAACCATCAGTGGTCTCAATTCATCAATCAAATGAAATAGATGGGCAGAATGGGTCAAGAAGCAAGATCCAACAATATGCTGCATACAAGAAACACACTTAATACAAAAATAAACTCATAGGCTGAAAGTTAAAGGGTGGAAAACAATGCTCCATGCCAAAGGAACCCCCCAAAAAGCAGGAGTAGCTATCTTCTTTGTAGATCAAGTGTATTTCAAACCAACATTAATAGATAAAGAAGGACACTACATCCTTGTAAAGGGAACAATCCAAGAGGAAGAGATAACAATCATAAACATATATGCACCAAACACTAGTGCACCCAACTATATAAAACAAATACTAATGAACATGAAAAATCATATAGGCACTAATATAAAAGTAGTAGGCAACATCAATACCACACTGTCTCAAATACATAGATCAACAAGACAAAAAATAAGTAATGAAATACTAGAACTCAATCAAATTCTTCAACAAATGAACTTAACAGATGTTTACAGAGTGTTCTACCCGACAAAATCAGAATACACATACTTTTCAGCTGCACATGGGTCGTCTCCAAAATAGACAACATACTCGCTCAAAGAACATATTTAAGTAAGTGCAAAGGAAATGAATTTATCCTCTGTATATTATCACACCATAGTGCGATGAAATTGGAGATTAATAGCAAAAAAACCTAAAAAATTATGTAAACACATGGAAAGTGAACAACATACTTCTGAGTAACCAATGGGTCACAGAGGAAACTAAAGAAGAAATCAGACATTTCCTTCAATTAAATGACAATGCCAATATAACATATCAGAATCTATGGGACACAATCAAAGCAGTTATACGGGGGGAAATTCATAGCAGTGAATACGCATATTAGGAAAACAGAGCAAGCCCAATTAAACAAACTGATGCTGAACCTCAAGCTTCTAGAAAAAGAAGAGCAGGAGAAACCCAAAGTTTATGCAAGGGAGGAGATTATAAAGATCAGGGCAAAAATCAATGCAATGGAGACAAAGACAATGATACAAAAAAATCAATGAAGCCAAGAGTTGGTTCTTTGAAAGAATAAATAATATTGACAAAGCCTTAACCAACCATATCAGAAACAGGAACAGCCCAAATATATGGAATTAAGAATGAAAAGGATGAAATTACAATGGACCCAGCAGAAATCCAGAGGATCATCAATACCTACTTCCAGAACCTATACGCCAATAAGATGGAAAACAGAGAAGAAATGGACAGATTACTAGATTTGTATGAATTACCAAAGTTGAATGAAGAAGACCAAAAAATTATGAACAATATCAATCAATGAAATTGAAAATGTAATTAAAAACTTACCAACCAAGAAAAGCCCGGGTCCTGATGGCTTCACTGCTGAATTCTACAAGACATTTAGAGAGGAACTACTTCCACTACTATTTAAACTCCTCAATGAAACTGAAAGGGAAGCAATACTCCCAAATTCATTCCTAAAACAAGCATCACCTTGATCCCCAAAGCAAAGAAAGACCCAACCAAAAAAGAGAACTGTAGGCCATTCTCACTAATTAACATAAATGCAAAAATCCTTAATAAGATACTGGCAAGTAGAATGAAGAAGATGATACACCCTGACCAAATGGGATTCATCCCAGCGATGCAGGGATAGTTCAACATACACAAATCAGTGAATGTAACACACTATATCAATACAGCCAAGGACAAAAACCATATGATCATCTAAATATATTCAGAAAAAGCATTTGACAAAATCCAACACACATTTATGATAAAAACCTTACAAAAATTGGAATAGATGGTCTGTACCTTAATCTGATAAAAGCCATCTATGAAAAACCAACAGCCAATATCATACTAAATGGTCAAAAACTGAAAACCTTCACACTAAAATCAGGAACAATATATCTGATCCATATATTTTTGGAAACATTAGCCACAGGAATTAGACAACAGAAAGAAATAAAAGGAATAAAGATAGGAAAGGATGATGTCAAATTGCCATTATTTGCAGATGACATGATACTCTATATGGAAGACCCCAAGAACTCCACCAAAAGTTTTCTAGACTTAATAACCAAATTCAGTAAAGTAGCTGGATACAAGTCAACACACAAAAATCAATAGGTTTTCTCTGTACGAACAACAGACTTACCAAAAGAGAAATAGGGCAAACAATTCCTTTTACAATAGCATCCAAAAAACTGAACTACCTAGAATCACCCTAACAAAAGAAATCAAAGACCTCTTCTCTGAAAATTATAGTGCTCTGAAAAGAGAGACTGAAGATGATGTCAGAAAATGGAAAGGCATCCCCTGCTCCTGGAGAGGAAGGATCAACATAGCAAAAAAGGCGATACTTCCAAAATTGCTATATAGATTCAAGGAAATCCCAATTGAAATCCCAGCATCATATTTCACAGACCTTGAGAAAACAATCCAAAAATTCATTTGGAACAAGAAGAGACCCAGAATAGCAAAAGCAATTGTAGGTAACAGAGAGATGGCAGGGGGTATCATAATCCCCAACTTGCAACTATACTACAAAGCTACTGTGATAAAAGCAGCAAGGTACTGGCAAAGAAACAGACCTGAGGACCAGTGGAACAGATTAGAAGATGCAGAAATAACTCCAGACAGACTCAGTCATCTCATCTTCGATAAAGGAGCCAAACACCCTCACTGGAGGAAAGATAGCCTCTTTAATAATTGGTGTTGGAAAAACTGGGTTTGAACTTGCCAAAGATTAAAACTAGTCCTATATCAATCACCATGCACTAAAATAAAATCAAAATGGATTAAAGATATAAATATTAAAACAGAAATGCTGAACTGGCTGGAACATAGGTTAGGTAGAACTCTTGAAGACATTGGTGTAGGAAAAAATTTTATGAACAAAACCTCAGTTGCCCGTGAACTAGCACAAACAATCCACAAGTGGGATCTCTTCTAACTAAAAAGCTTCTGCATAGCAAGAGAAACCACCAACAGAGTGAAGAGGCAACCCACAATGTGGGAAAAAATTTTCACCTGCTGTTCCTCAGACAAAGGTCTACTATCTAGAAACTATAAAGAACTTAAGAAAAATTAGACCTCCCAAATTTAAAGACCCAATCCAAAAATGGGCATCTGAAATAAACAGCCATTTCTCAGACAAAGAAGTAAAAATAGCAAATAAACATATGAAAAAATGTTGAACATCACTGGTTATTTGAGAGCTGCCAATGAAAACAATGCTGAGATTCCACCTCACCCCAGAAAGAATGGCTGCCATCATGAATTCAACCAATAACAAATGCTGGTGTGGCCATGGGGAAAGAGGAACACTGCTCCACTGTTGGTGGAAGTGCAGACTTCTGCATGCACTGTGGAATTCACTATGGAGATTCCTCAAAGAACTAGGACTGGAAATCCCATATGACCCTGCTATTCCCCTGCTGGGCATCTTCCCCAAAGAATTAGAAGAATCATACCAAAGTGATATATGTACACCTATTTTCATAGCAGTACAGTTTGTAATATCTAAAACTTGGAAGCAGCCCAAATGCCCATCAACTGGAGACTGGATAAAGAAAATGTGTTTTTTTCATAACATAGAGTACTACTCAGCCATAAAAAATTAAAATTAGAAACATTTATAGCTAAATGGATGCACATTGAGGTGATACTCAAGTGAAATAAATAGGACACACATGTGTAAATACGAAATCATTTCTCTAGTGTGAGAAACTGAATGTGTAAATAAGGACTAAAAGGTATAATAGATAATTTGAAATAGGTAGTAAAGGAGCAAAGCAGAAGGGTAAGTGGAAGGGGTAGGGGAATGGAAAGAAGGGAATTGAATTAATATGAGAAAATGAAAAAATTGAAACAAAGTCTTTGTAAATAGGAAGGGATGGAGGGGTTGAAGGGAGGGCAGAGGAAGGGGGGAAAATAAGAACCAAGAGAGATTATGTAAAGGTGCAAATATCCAGTGATTAATGTCATTATATTGTATACCTAAAATGTACCAATAAAATATGAAAATGTTAGAATGAAAAAAAATCTATTCCTATAAATAAGAGACATTCATATAAAATTTTGCTTCTAAACTTAAAGGTGTAAGTCATGGTTTCAATCAGATCTCTTAAATAAGGAAAGGAAAGTAAAAGAAGAAATTAAAGTTGAGAAGAGTGAAAATTATAGATTTTATAGCTTTTTCTCTTCTTGTTGCTCACAGAATTACAATCCATATCATATTAGTCCAGGTATAACCTAACTATTGTCATCTTTGAGGTAACAAGTATATGAAGGAAACAATTATAACAAAGCATTCCTTATATTCTAATTTGAATATTTTATTGGAAATGAGAAGTAAATTGGCATGGATCTTCATAATTGAGCTAACATCAACCTACAATTCAAGATAACTGTTTTATTTATTACCATTATTTTTATATCGATGATTGTAGTTCTCTTACCAGTGTAATCTTCAGAAACATTACAATATGAACTTCTTTTTGGAATCACTAAAAATTGTGTTGATTCCGGTGTAGAATCTTGTCCAAAAAAATGACCAATCAATTTGATTTCCAGCGTCATTTCTACCTTCTTCTTAGACTTACATTGTATGACAGCTACAGGAGAGAAATATTTTCTATTAATTTAACTATTAGACTATAATCTTCATTCTTGAGATAAATTAAACTATGTCATAAAAAATAAAACTTCCCTTGCATATGACTTTAACACACATGTATGCACACAAACACAGGCACTCTCACGCAATACCTACATATATTAATATATTGCCAAATATAAGAACATTAAAGAATATGTAAGTACAGTATGACAAAGGATAACTTTAAGATTATTAAAGATCATAAAAGAC